GGAAGGTTGGCTCTGTCACAACAAGCAAGCAGGTTTGAGTTACCAATGGACATGAAAAAACTTGAAAGTAAGTGAAATCTACCTCATTGAATTATATCTCTACCTATATAATATTATAATGTTATTATAGACAGTGTGATATGTCATGTAACATTTCTGATGTAAGATATACAATAAACAAACCTATAAATCAACCTGTAATAAAACATAATATCTGCTGTAATATACTGGAAAGTACATTTTATACTATTATAGTTATAATTAGAGTTCTGACAGGTTATATGGCCGTATTTAAACGGTTGTTAGGAAATATATATCACAAAAAACAACCATTTATATATGGTCATATAACCTGTCAGGAATGCTTATTAAGAATTTATAATACAACAAACCTCCCTATTTTAGAGAAAAAAAGTGAGATTTCTTCATAAATTGACAGCAGCATATCAAACTATGTAAAAGTCATAATTATCCAACGAAAAGTGACGTCACAAACGTGCAGTATTATTAAGTAACTTTACCCTAAACCTACTAAATTTGTGTAATTGATTGGCCCTACTTTAAATTTGGAATATTCCACTTAAAAGTCTAAGGGATTTCAAATTACCAAACTCATACATGTGAACTCTCCCACTTTAAGCGGGAGACTCCCACTTTCTGCAGTCATATTTTCAAAGATTTTTCTTAAAATAAGGGGTATTTTCACAAGTTAAAGAAATCTCCCTCTTTTTGATATCAAACCTTTCTTCTTTGTTAATTGCAAATTCTAAAATCTCCCTCTTTTTAAAAAAAAATCTCCCACTTGATCATCGTGAAAAGTTCACATGTATGCGAACTATAAAAAATGAGCTACATGTACCAACAGAGGAGAACTTCATCCATGCCGGCGGGCGTGGCTCTATACTGATGACAAAGATTACTTATCTATTCCAGCAGGTTAAGGGTTATGTTATAAGTGGTGGAGGGTCGGGCAATACCTACCATGGTATGGAGCCCTCATACCATGATGTTTTCTGTATAATATCTGATCAGAATATTATCATGGTCATGTTTTTTTTTTCTACTTCAAGCACTGCTATCTTGTAAATTAAATAATACAAACACCTTTATTTATTATTGTTTGTTAAGGACTTGAGAATGTTGTAAAGCTTACAAACATTTCAAATGTAACCAACAGCTGAATTGGGAGAGTTTACATGAATTTGAATGTTTTTCTCATCTAACTTGTCCCCATAACCATATTTTATATTTTATCTTCATCACTTTCTAGCTACCGGTATTTTGAGCCAAAAATATTTTTTACCTTTTTACAAAAAAAACAACAATAAACAACAACAACAACAACAATAAAACAATATAAATTAAGAGGACTATTATTGTTGTAGATATTGCCTTATTTTTCTATATTTCCAAAAATTTATTACAGTCAATACCCCAGAACCTTTCGTAAGTGTAAATAACACAATATTTGAAATGGTTCTTATTTTGAGTTTATATAAACAAATGTAAGCTTAGTGGATATTATAGGACATAGATCATTCATTGTCAGCCATTCTTCACTTCAATCATTGTCAGCCATTCTTCACTTGAAATGAGGAGTCCTGTATTATTAAAGCAATAAATATTTATCTTATGTAAATAGTTCACTGTTAAGGGATCCGCTGATATTTTCTGTTTACAATGGATAAGAAATACAATAAATGGGTATAAGTAAATGTAAGAATTATCTCACTGAACAATGTTTCAAAAATGAAAGATATACTTTTCTTTGATTTATTTTCTTTATGAAATATTTGAAAAAACTTTAATTTTAAACTTTAAAAAAATGGTTAAAGTATAGAGTTATTGTTTCTTAAAGTTTCTTCAAATAATTCATGATTTTTTAAAATTTTAATATAAGTAATACAACAACTCAAATATTTGACATGATATAATTTTTTGATTTCAGAAATGACCCCGCAAGAGTATGTAAGAAAACACTGTATTATAACATCAAGACGTCAAAACTTGTACCAGAAAATATTCCTGAAAAACAAAGACAAGACTCAGGTTATTGTATACAAGGTAAGTCAATGTAACAATAATTATGTCATTGCATATAAATGCGAATATAATATAAACTTTTATAAGGGTTATAAGTTGCAACCAACTTGTTTATACTGTCAGGAATATTTATAATGAATTTATAATACAGAAAAATTCCTTCTTTAAAAAAGAAAAAGTGAAATTTCTTCATAAATTGACAGCAGCCATGTATATAAAACTATATAAATGTCACATTTTTTTTTAAATAAAAGTGATGTTACAAAATGCAGTAATATAAATTCAGTTGTATCTAAGATTAAGAACTTTCATATTGTCTCAGGTTGCTGTACATTTAGGTTCTCATTGACCGCCGTACAGTGACCTACTTTTGGCTCAAAATTCATATCTTTGGCTAATACTCCGTGGAAATTGCATGGAGGTAAATTATCACCACTTTGTGCTTCAAAATTAACTCTTTAAGGGCATGACTGGTGACATGTCCGGGGTCCGTACTTGACAGCGAAAGCTGCATTTTGTGCCCGATGGGTGGCTTAACTGTGCTCCGGTGAATTCAATGTAGCTAACTGCTGTGATCTGGAGTGAAAACTACCAACACCACCACCATTAAGAAATGGCTTTGAGAAATTTATTATCAAGACAAGTTCTTCCATTTTGTCTTTTAATTAAAAACTATGATATATTTATATATTCTAGGATTTGGACCGGTCATTGAAGGATGTCCTGGTGAACACTATTACCTCAGAACAAGTTCAAGATGTCCTTAACATGTTAAATATAACAGAGAGTACCAAAGTAGATTACCAACTGTTCGCTGGCATGGCCGCATTTGCTGAACGTGTTCTTTATCCCTCATTTGTGTAAGTACATGTATATCAGATAAAAAATGTAGATATTGTCACCTTATTGCAGTAACAGGTTAAGTCCTTCTAAATTTAATAGGGGTTAACCAGTTTTTGTACTAAAGTTACGATATATCTCTTTTATGTTAGTATATGATAATAAGTATAATTTTTCCCCTGATTTATGTCAGTATGTGATAAATATAGCTTTGTCCTTTTGTTTAAGGAGATTATTATGTGTATGACTTTGTCCATTTTTATATAAGTAAATTTCATCATTTATTTCATAAGATGTCATATTTCTCATAAGCACCCATTAGTTTAAACATACCTTAAATTAACCCAGGGTTAAATGAACTAAATAGAAAAACACTTATACAATTTAGTGCTGGTGCTTGCATATATAATGTATAAGCACTTTGCATATCACCTTTGCCCCTTTGGTGGATATTGACATGAATATCTGATCGCCTTTGCCTCTGTCACAAAAACATAATTGCTAAGAAGTTATAGATTTATTTTGTTTAACCAGGTGACATTGTCATATGCATTTTTTGTGGAATTTATCCAGTACATAAACCTACATTGTTTTATTTCACTCCATTTAATAAAATTGTATAAAATTTCACAGTTTAGGTATGTGGCGTGTCTGAGTTTATAGCCATTTTTATACGCCCGTTTGAAAAACGGGACGTATTATGGGAACGCCCCTGGCAGGCGGGCGGGCGGGTGGGCGGGTGGGCGGGCGGTCGGGGTCCAATTTTGTCCGGAGCATATCTCCTACATGTATGGAAGGATTTTAATGAAACTTCATAGAAATGTTCACCATTATGAGGAGCAGTGTCGCGCACATGAACTAGGTCTCTAGGTTAAAGGTCAAGGTCACACTTAGAGCTAATTGAAAAATGCTTGTCCGGAGCAAAACTTCCACATGTATAGAGGGATTTCAATATTACTTGGCACAAATGTTCACCATTGTGAGGCGGAGTGTTGCTCGCAAGATTCAGGTCCTTGGCCGCCAAGGTCAAGGTCACACATAGAGGTCAAAGTTCAGATAAAAATATGAAGATGTGTATATGGACCATTTAGTCATCATTTATTGAGGGATTGTAACACAAATGGTCATTATCAAGACTATGGCTGTGATACATATAATTTAGGTCAATATATACAAGGTCAAGGTCACTAAAGATGATGAAATATCCAGATTTTATCCGGAGCATATCTCCTACACGCATGGAGGGATTTTAATGAAAATTCATAGAATTGTTCACCATTATGAGAAGCCATGTCACGCACATGAACTAGGTCTCTAGGTCAAAGGTCAATGTCACACTTAGAGCTCATTGAAAAACGCTTGTCCGGAGTAAAACTTCCACATGCATAGAGGGATTTCAATATAACTTGGCACAAATGTTCACCATTGTGAGGCAGAGTGTCGCGCACAAAATTCAGGTCCCTGCAGCCAAGGTCAAGGTCACACATAGAGGTCAAAGTTTAGATAAAAATATGAAGATGTGTATAGGGACGATTTAATTGTCATTTATTGAGGGATTGTAACACAAATGGTCATTATCATTACTACGGCTGTGACACATGTACTTTAGGTCAATATATGCAAGGTCAAGGTCACTAAAGATGGTGAAATATCCAGATTTTGTCTGGAGCATATCTCCTATATGTATGGAAGAATTTTTATAATACTTTATGGAAATGTTTACCACCATGATATGTATTGCTCCATGCATGATCCAGGTCAAAGGTCAAGGTCACACTTAGAGCTCATTGAAAAACGCTTGTCCGGAGCAAAACTTCTACATTCATAGGGGGATTTCAATATAACTTGGCACAAATGTTCACCATTGTGAGGCTGAGTGTCGCACGCAAAATTCAGATCCCTGCGACCAAAGTCAAGGTTACACATAGAGGTCAAAGTTCAGATAAAAATTTGAAGATGTGTATAGGGACCATTTAGTCATCATTTATTGATGGATTGTAGCACAAATGGTAACTATCATGACTACAGGTGTGACACATTTAATTTAGGTTAATATTTGCAAGGTCAAGGTCACTGGAGATGATTAAATATCCAGATGTTGTCCGGAGCATATTTTCTACATGCATGGAGGAATTTTAATGTTACTTTATAGAATTGTTCACCACCATGAGACGTAGTGCCCTGCACATGAACCAAGTCTCTAGGTCAAAGGTGAAGGTCACAGTTAGAGCTCATAGAAAAACGCTTGTCTGGAGCAAAACTTCTACATGCATAGAGGGATTTCAATATAATTTGGCACATATGTTCATCGTTGTAAGGCTGAGTGCCGTGCATAAAATTCAGGTCCCTGCGACCAAGGTCAAGGTCACACATCCTGTGCATATCTTCCCTACTGATTTGTTTTAAGGTTCATTTAGCAACACAGTGCCAAGAATAAAAACTTGCTTGCTAGATAACACTTATCCAAATTGCCCCAATCTCCATCTAAAGCTTTCGTAAACGGGCGTAATTTGTGACTATGGCACCCTTGTCTTTAATAGATAGATAGTCTATACTGTGTCACACAGGCCAAAGGGCTTACAACTCTATTTTTTAAAACTGAAATATTTACTTATTACTATACACTTGTCAAAAAATAGGACACAAGACTATCTTAGAAGACTCGTAGAGTTAGAGATTGCTTTTGGTCTGTTAGGGTGAGTTTGTTTCCGTTGATGATGTTTTTTTTCTGTGTTTTTGATCCATGTTGCTCAGATATATGTCTTGGAATTGATTGTGAAATTTGTATATGATGTACATTTTAAACCAGCATGGTCTTGCTCATTGTATTATTGAAGTATATATTGTATAACAAATGGTGGAATGAGTGAGGGTTTTTTCCCCTCAAAAATGTTATGTTGCCTTGTTTGCTTGCTGAATCAATGTGATACCATTTGACCAGAAAATAATGTGCTAGTATAAAAAATATTAGGATACATAAATTATGCACTAGTATTTATTTATACCTTGTTATGGGAAATAAATTATTTTTTGTTCAAAATTGCTTTGGACTTAAAAATTTAAAAAAAAATTGCAGGTATTTAATATAACACTTTGAATGTCATGGTTTGAATTATGTGTACATTATGTACATAATATATACATTAGACATGAATATTTCGCCTACTTTTGTAGGTTTATTTTTTAGATAAGACTTTCTTTGCATTTATTCTATATTTTTATTGATAATTTCAAACCGTATTTGAATTATCACAACATAGTTAAAAACTCCACAAAATATTAAAAGTAAAATAAATTTTCTCGGGGCAGTTCTGGTTGAATGGTATATACACTAATGCTTGGTTTTGCATATTTGAGTATTTATAATGCATATATTTGAAGTTTCACAATTACCTGTTGTGTGCAATTATATTTTTTGAATGATCCTGCTGTTAGCATTTATAGATGTGTTAAGATAATTGAATATTAATTTGATTATGTAGTTTGTTACTAATAAAATTATTTGATTATTGATATACTTGATTACCAATTTTAACATTTTGATACCAATTTCTCTTAAATTATGAATGAATTGTTCTAAAATTCAAAGCAAGGCAGGGTTGTTTTATCAATTTCGGGATGAATTAAAATGAAAAGGCAAATTTCAATAAGGTAAATAAGAGGATTTTTTATCTTATCTCTTTTGACACTAAAGTTACAATACCTTATCTCTTTTGACCCTAAAGTTGCAATGTAACCTTACCTCTTTTGACACTAAAGTTACAAAACCTTATCTCTTTTGACATTAAAGTTGCAATACCTTATCTCTTTTGACACTAAAGTTGCAATGCCTTATTCTTTGACACCAAAGTTGCAGTACATTATCTCTTTTGACACCAAAGTTGCAATACCTTAACTCTTTTGATACTAAAAAGCAGTACCTTATTTAAGTTGACACTAGAGTTACAATATCAAATGAATCATTATTAAGTTAAAATATATTTAGCATCTCTGTTCTGTCATCCTTGTTTCTTATTTTCTGAAGCACATCTGTTCTACTCCTTACTCTTGATTTATTTGGTTGAGATAAACAGGGGCATATGAGAAGATTGCCACATAAAGTATTTCTTTCATTCATATCCTAACTTTGGAATTCATTTCTGCTAGTAGTTTTCATAAAGAGGTAATAAAAAGGTAGAATAATGTTAAGAAACTACTATTTCCTTTCACCCTGATATGGTTCTTAGGAACTACTTTTTTCGTATATTTACACGGTTATAAGGAACTACTTTGTTCATTCCAGAACTGATGACACACGAGAGATGCCAGAATATCAAAGAGAGAAGATAGAATGTGCTGATTTCTCTGCGTTACCATGGAAACTACATGGGGTCAAGGTCAACTCAGAGATGAGAAAAATGTTGGAACAAATCAGCTGATGATGTGCATTTAAAAACTGTATTCATGATCAAGAGCCATTGTTTCTAGTGAAGGAGAATTGGACTCGCATGAATTACATTACATTAGAGAATTCAGTTTGACTACTGTAGATCTATTTTTAGAAAATTGGATTCTTTAAAACATTTGAGGATATTATATAAAGTAAACGACAGTTCAGTGAAAAGTTGGTTTGTTTACTCAAAAAATTAAACGTTTCACTTATGCCTCAATTTAAATTTGGGCCTTAACACATCATGTGACATGTTTTACTAATGCCTTTATTTTAAAGTAGGGCCTTAATGTCTTACTGCAATATGGTTATGCTTATTTCTATACCAAAGAAAAATGACATAGAAAGGGAGGTAATCATAATATACAATCATGGAACGAATTACAAATTACATATTTTTATACTTACATAAATTATGATTTATTATATTGCATAATACGCAAACTTTAATGAATTGTGCATGTTATTTGTTATTTATATATATACTTTTTCACCTGTTTTAATGTCTAAATGTTGAAAGATTAGTCCAAAACAACTGTTTTAACACAAGAAATAAAAGTGACACAGCAATTTTGCACTAGTCTTACAACATTTTTCTGTTGCTAGTAGTTTATACCTTATTGTATGTTAATGTTTTATTCTTGGAGGAAAAAAAAGGGAATGAATTCAAAATTTGTGTGCATTCACCAAAGTTAATGAGATTTTTAATATAATAATTAGATTCTTGTATGCTGACAGTGGTCTTATATTTTAAACAGTGCTCCTGAAAAAAGTGTTGTTAAAATTTGTTCTATTACCACATTTAATTGGATTCCAGTATACAGCAGAACAGAACGAAACAAACACACATTTAATTTTATTTTGGATTTGTACATAGTACATCAGCACTAAAAAATAAAATTAATACACAAATTGTAAAGATGTCATGTTTATATTCAACAATTAATATACAATTTGATATCTAGTAACTATTTTACTCAATTTGTTAAAAATACTAAATAAAATATTAACTTTATTAAGAATAACACAAGTTATCTAAAATCTACATAAAGAATCTACATAATATACTTGTCTGTTTCTTTTTTCACTTGAAAAATATTCTTATATCAATTATGTCTAGGAGCAAGAGTTAAAACCAGTTGTTGTTTATTTTCCTCTTCATGTTTATGATGTTAATGTATGTTATGTGATATTGAAAAATAAATTGTGATATTTCATACTGATAATGTTTTGTACATATAAAGTATATACATGTATTATATATATATGCAAATTTTCATGTGAAATTTAAGGTTTTTTTTTGTTTTTTTTTGAGAAATCATTTTTCTGTGACGTGCCTGTCCAAACCTACAAGTCTTTCCAGGCAATGATTATTGTAAAGTGTTTAATGTACTTAAAAGTTAATGGGCTTATAGTTTAATACATGTAGGTTTTACAAATGGAGTAACAAACTCCTCAATAAATGACTAATTTTCTTTTATATTTGTATATGTTTCATTGATAATGTTTCAGGATTATGAAAATACTACTCTTGCAGAACTGTTTGTTACATATAGAATCTAAATCCTACATTATTTATTTGTTTACATGAATTTTTGCATATATTACTCTCTAGTTTTGAATGTTTATGCATTTTACATACATGATTTATTGATTGATGCCTTTTTTAAATCTTTTTTTTATAAAACTTTATTTCTATAAAGCAATAGAAAACATAAAAATGATATACAAAATTGTTGTTGTTTGTTTCTCTTCAGTATTGGTCAAGGATAACGGTGTGCAGAGCCTATATCCTCGGTATAAATTGATCTACAATTCAGTCTAAGTGTCTCCAGGAACGATGGTTAGGAAATTACCCGTCTATATGACTGAAATACTGTTTGGAAAAGGCGTAAAATCAAACAAACAAACAAAACAGTCTGAGTGTGATCTGGATGCTACTGTTGTGCATTTGATATTAAAAACACTAAAAAGGCACAAAAAGAAAGTTTCCAATTGAAAGTCCTACTTATATATCGAAAACACTAAAATTCCAGTCTTTACAAATTGATCTTAATATCAAGGTTGTTAAACTGATGAAAACAAAGATTTTTGTGACATAATTATGTTTATAATAAACTATAATTAAAGTTGCCACAAGAAGTCGAATAAGGGCAAGATCTATTCAAAAAGTAACCATCATTTCTTTGATATTCATAATTGTAAATAATCAATACACAAGACCTTGGTCTTAGGTCTTGCCAAAACAGAATAATGTTTATTTTAGTTAGAGCAAATTATGAGGGGATTTAACTTTCAACTGGAGTCTGCAATCACTGTAACAACTAGACAATAATTATGCCCATTCTGTAAACTTGGGACTGTCAATTATAGGTTTCTGTCCATTAGTAAGCATTTACAAAATTAAAATTGGTCAAGAATGGCACAGAAAGGTGTCAAAATGACAACTAACCAACTTCAGCGATTGAAATTATTTTTATAAACAATTGATTTATTAGACTGCTTAACAGTTTGCCAATATATCAAAGTAATATGTGTTATGTTTCAGTTAAAATACTGTAATTCTATTGGACACAAAAATAATTCCAAACCCTTGTCCTCCGTTTTAGAATTCATGTCCATTAACAATGAATGTTCTAAAAAAATCACAGCATGCTTGCAGTCTGTAAAAAAATTGAAAAATGGATAAAAAATAAAACGAAAGATTATATAATATTTAATACATTCAATTTATTGTTAGTTATACATCAAATACAATCACATTGTCTACAATATTTGTACACAATCATATAAATTCATTATGAATAGAAAATGTAAAATTATACTAACACAGTTACTATCTATATATCACAGTACTTATAATCCTAACCCTAATCTTGATAAATGGACTTGTCCAGTTTTCTTTTTTGGAACTGTCCATTATCAGTTTTAGGGATAAGATGAAAATTTGAAGTCTGCCAGCATTATAATTATAGAGCCTGGTCAGGTTGCAATGAAGAGCAGTCTTGCCTGAGTGTCAGACTGTATGCAGTTAGCAGAGGCCACCTACTTTTGGTTCCTGCATTCTAAAGGGACAAACATTTACCTTTAACTCATTTTAATTTAAAGAAATAATGGGAAAACCTTTATGGTTAACTCCCCCCTCCCAAATCCAAGTGAATCAGTTAATTATCTAACCAAATAGTCATATTTTCAACCAATCAAGTAATCTTTATTTTCCTTAACCTGCTGGAATGGTCTAGTAATTTGTTTAAATTGCTTTGAAATTTGAAAGTGCCCATTTAAAATTGGAATGATTTTAATATCAAAATACATGTATACCAATTGAAATATCACTAGTATAGAGCCTGGTCAGACTGTGCAAATGTGGTGGTGGTGTTGGTAGTATTCACAGATCACGGCAGTAAGCCACATTGAATTCACCAGAGCAGTTCAGCCACCGCATCGTTCCTGGGCAGACTGTCAAGCAGTTTACCAGTACTAGCTGCCTCCACTTTCGCAAGGAACTGAAACTTCTGTACATGCCAGAGCAGATGTACAGTGTGAATGACAATAGAAAAGATTTCATGATCAATCACAATGAAAATGACCTGTACCATCCCGGAATCGAACTAAAGTCGCCCAATTCACAGTCCAATGCTCTACCTATTGAGCTAACCAGATGGTCAACTGTACAAAATATGTAGGCTGGCCATACTTTATACTGGTGGCAAAGACAAATCACTTTCTGACATAGGGTAAACTATTACTTTACATTGCAATATTAGGTACAAAACCATGTCGTAAATTTATATCTAAAATAAACAAAAGATAGTCTTTGCACTAAAATACTGGGTCTCCTAAAGCAATGACAAAAAATACAAATAATTCCAACCTTAATATCAATATATATCAATGTTTAAAATGTTTGATTAAAATAATACAATACATATTTTAATACCTTTTACAATTCAAAGTAAGAAGTTTAACAAAAACAATTATAGTCATACACTGACATTAAATTGAATGAATACTCATTTAACTTAAACTTTAAACACCCAATTTTGCACCAAACCTTAAATTCCAGCTGTTAAAAAAGGTCAATTGTACTTCTTCTGCACAATTTTATAAACATTTTGTAATCATTTACACTGTTTTGTTTGTTTGTTTTTCACACCAGTTTAAACACATGTTTTGGTTATAACTTGGTAGTCCATTAACCTAACCGTCTTTACTGGATAACTAACCAGTAATTATCAATTTCTCTGCAAGTGACCGATTACTAATTCCACATTATTTCTGAATCAGTGTTGAGAGACACAATGTCCGATATAAATTAGACACAATGTCCAAGATAAATTAGACACAATGTCCAATATAAATTAGACACAATGTCCAATATAAATTAGACACAATGTCCAAGATAAATTAGACACAATGTCCAATATAAATTAGACACAATGTCCAATATAAACAAGAGCCATGTCAACATGGCCATCCCCCGCCGAATGTGTTTGCTCATTGGAAGAATGTATATGTAGTAGAGCGGAATAATTCCATTTTAAGAGGTCTTTTGGTAATGAAAACTGATGGCTATAGTGATTACAGATTTGAAACCTATGTGAATACTGATGGCTGAAAATAACAAAGGGCAATTACTGAAAAATAATGCAGGGTAGGTTATCATTCTTGTGTCCTGCATCCCTCCTCAGTAAAATCTATCCACCTATGAAGTTTCAAGTTGATACCTCAAATACTTTTTGAGAAAAAAATTGAATTGAAAAATTAAGTATGACAAAGAACAAAGGGCATTAACTCAAAAATTATAAAAGGTAGAGTTATCATTCTTGTGCAGTGCACACCTCCTGAGTGAGATCTATGAAGTTTCATTTTGATATTTCTAAGGCTTTTTGAGTTATGCTCTGGACAAAAATTAATTTTGAAAAATAACAAAGGGCAATAACTCAAAAATAATGCAGGGTAGAGTTATCATTCTTAAGCACTGCACTCCTCCTCAATGAGATCCATCCACCTTTTAAGTTTCAAGTTGATACCTCAAATACTTTTTGAGATAAGCTCTGGACAAAATAGCATGAAAAAAAACAAAGGGCAATAACTCAAAAATTGTATAGGGAAGAGTTATCATTCTTGCGCACAACATTCCTCCTCAATAAGATCTATCCACCTATGACATTTCATGTTGATATCTCAAACACTTTTGAGTTATGCTCCACTCAGGTGAAAAATTAGGTATGAAAAATAACAAAGGGCAATAACTCAAAAATTATGAAAGGTAGAGTTATCGTTCTTGTGCAATGCACACCTCCTGAGTGAGATCTATGCACCTATCAAGTTTCATGTTAATATCTCATAGGCTTTTGGAGTTATGCTCTGGACAAAAATCAATTTTGAAAAATAACAAAGGGCAATAACTCAAAAATCATGCAAGGTAGAGTTATCATTCTTGTGCACTGCACTCCTCCTCAATGAGGTCTATCCACCTATGAAGTTTCAAGTTGATAACTCAAATACTTTTAGAGATATGCTCCGGACAAAAATGTCGGACGGAAGGACGGACGAACGGACGGAAGGAGGGACGGACGGTCGGACGGACGGAGACTATTTCTATATCCTCCGCCGAAAATTTTCGGCGGGGGATAATTAGACACAATGTCCAATATAAATTAGACACAATGTCCAAGACAAATTAGACACAATGTCCGTGATAAATTAGACACAATGTCCGAGATAAATTAGACACAATGTCCAAGATAAATTAGACACAATGTCCGAGATAAATTAGACACAATGTCTGAGATAAGTTAGACACAATGTCCGAGATAAATTAGACACAATGTCCGAGATAAATTAGACACAATGTCCAAGATAAATTAGACACAATGATCGTGATAAATTAGACACAATGTCTGAGATAAGTTAGACACAATGCCTGAGATAAATTAGACACAATGTCCGAGATGAATTAGACACAATGTCCGAGATAAATTAGACACAATGTCCGAGATAAATTGTCACAAAGAAATTACATGTACATGTATTTGCACAATTTTAGTAACAATTGTTTTTACAAAATCCTAAAAACTTTTGTAAATTTCTAAAATCCTTTTATATAGATATATATTTTTTTTATAAATAATACTCTGAATAAATAATACAACAATGATTTACCCCGTAAGTAAATAAATACAGGTCTAAAAAGAAAAAATATATAATTTTTTACAAAATTTGTTATTTAAAATATGTAAAATGAAAATAGAAGTAACTTCTTCAATAAATGTATAATATCACAGCACTTGTTTAGTCATTTCTCTAGTTATATCACAGTAAAACACAATTGTGAAGTTACTTCACATATAATTATATAGTTATTTTGTGAAATAAATGGAATATAATAATTTTGTGTAATAGATATATGTGAAATTGCCTCACATATATTTGTATTGTTGTGAAGTAATAGGAATATAACTGTGTGTAATAGATGTTATGTGAGATATTATTTAGTTATTTGAGAAGTAATAGAAAAATAATAACTGTGTGTTACTTCACATATACCTGTATAGATATTTGTGAAGTAAATGGGATATAAGTCAGTGTAATGGATGTATGTGAAGTAAGTTAAATGATGTAACTTGTTTTATGTGAAGTAGTGGTTCGGAGTAGATATATCGTATTGGGAAGTAACTTGTAAAAAATACATTATATATAATATTATGTCTTATTTAGTGAAATATAAGTATATAAATAACTTTATGAAAAGTAACAAATACACAAATAAACAAAATTTAATTTAATGTTGTAAAAAGGCAGTCATTTATGTAAAAATCATTTCCATCTCAAATACGTTTTTTTTTTTCAAATTAGTGTATATTGTATGGTATTCAATGTGACACTCAAATCAATCAGTGAAATATAAAAAATATCATTCACTGTCAATAATTGTTCTTTATTATCAAAACTTTGCAGAAGATCAATTAAAACTACCATGCTTTCGTTCTTTATTATTAAATAAAAGGTATCTTACACCATGTTTAAAAGAATTTAAAATAAGCACTTAATATATATATAAATTAAGGACGGAATATTTTTCACTAACAATACAACAAAAATTGTCTTCCACATAATAAAATGTTAATAAATAAACATAGACTTTGAAATTTTTTCATTGATTACAAACACAATAAAAGATCATGTAACATCTTTCATCTTATAAAAAATATTACGTATTATAATAAGTTGAAAAAAAGTTTCTAGAATAAATATGGAATTGCTTTTACTTGATCTGTTTTACTTTTCTGTGAACAATTTCTTTAACATCTATATTTTCTATAAAAATATATTTCGAATATATTACAAAATGACATTACAATAATTAAGAAAATTGAGTTAAATTTGTATAAGTATCACATGATTCACTATCGTATTGATGCTCGTGGTGATTTTGCATGTTGGTTTAACTGGGTGTATGCCTTTTCCAGCTGGATCAATTCCTGAAAACAAAAGTAATGAAAATTATTAAAACAACTAAATTCAAGGGAGGTAAATAGAATATAAATCTAAACCTCTAATTTTATCAGTGTTTTTTCCTTTTAATGTTTAAAGTGACATTATGCCCATCCAATGGTAAAAAGTAAGTGAAAGTCAAGTCAGTTTATGTTTTGTCATAATTCCTTTCAATTTTGTAATTTACCTCACATGAAAAGAACTCGCATAGGAAATTTCTGTAAATATCCATCAGAATTTACCCGTTTTGTTCAAATTATAAACAGAGTGGGGTGGTCTTTTTATATTTTAGGTAAATTTATACTTTATTGTAAGCATTTTTCAATCACCAACACAACAAAAAATTTTCAGAAATATGTAGTCAATTCAGCTGACCTTGACATTGAAAAAATGAGCGTAATGTCACTTTAACACAAGTAAAGTAACTACATTGTATTACTGCTTCTGTGCTTTTTCATTTTGTTCAGAGTAAATTACTAAATAACTAAATAAGATTTTATCTCCCTCATTCTCTCCATTAATACAGAACAAAATGGAATGATAAAATATCAAAAAATCTTTTGAAATACAGAGATTCAACTTGGTGGTCAGATATACTTAAGCTCATTGCCATTTGGCAGCAGTTATCATTTTTTGTATCATCTAATTTGCTCAACAAAGACGTCTAAAATTACATTGATCAAGATTGAAAACTTTTTAACAAATTGAGTGTGAGCTAGTTTTAACTGTAAGCTGGCTGCGACTGAATCTACCCATAGTATCAGTGCAGACCAAGAACAGCTGGCACAGATGTGCCGTCTGATCATTGTTTGCACCTTTTGCTATTCAGTTGGAACATATTTTGAAAAATTTCCCCTAAAAATGATGAATGGTTTTGCCCAGACTGAAAGATGGGCAAGTACATTTTGGACAACAAGTGGGTAAAGGATGAACAAACCTTGGCCTGATTAGTAAGTGTATTCTGTAATTTAGACATCTCCGCCATTTTCTTCGACATGATATCTCTATTCACTCTCTGATGATGGGTCAGTGCCTCGGTCTCGTAATCGTGTTCCCGCATTCGTAGTTCAAGGTTACTTGCTAATCTCGTCTGGTCTCTTGTTGGTGATGGTGATCTCATTGTGAACTGTGAGTATATGAGATTTTATAATACAATAATGTATACACAAAAGTATATTATTAGACAAAACTGGTTAGATTTTTGTTTTAAAGATCGAGACTGAAAAAGTCAAAATTAATGGCGACTCTCCAGATTAACTGAGAAAACCGAAGTCCTCTGGAGCCTATCCATTGACCATTGTATCAAGCATGTTAAGAAGACACCCCAGTAGAACCATACACCTTCCATTTGCTAGCTGAAGAGTTTCTCCTTATAAAAGTATCCAGAGTCCTTGACAGGTTTAATTAATATAGAATTCACTTTAGTAAATTTTTGTAGGATGCTTATAGACACAATGTCAAAAAAGGGCTTCACATTATTTCTAACTAACAGGACCGACAAGCAAGTAATTTGGAGAAAGTGACCTTAACCAGTCTGCCACTGAACACTTGTTGGTGTATAAGCAGCTAAGCCCCAATAGAGAGGTTGTAGGAAGAGAGAAAATCTTTTTTTTCTTCAGTGAGGAGATGGTTTCCACTTTTCTTAATCACATCAACATCATTACAGTCATTTAATTTTAATAACTTTCCAACCCTAAAGTACTCCTAAATGCATTACTCCAGGCACGGGTCAGAATCTGCATGGGAGTACAACCAACTCTCTGTTCACTAACTTTGATTGCACAAAACCTATTCTATAAGTTTAAAAATTCAAGTTATATACCTTTCTATGTGAGTTGTACATTTCTGGTGTGGTTAGATTAGGACTACTGGAAGACACGTTGAATTTGGCACGTCGTAAATTACTGTTGTCAGTCTGTAACTGCCGTACTTTAGACTGTAACTGGGCAAGTCTCTTTGCATAATCTATATCTTCATGACCTTGTGATCCAGACCCAGTATTCTATAGAAGCAGAGAGTAGTTTATATTTAGTTATAAGTTTATTTTATATTTCTTTCATACATCTGTATAATGTTTATTTAACTGATTTTCATACACACATATACACATATATTCAATGGCTAACAGTATTAATATATTCATCACTTGGCACATTTGATCATTTTCTGTGTTCAATAAATATCTAATAGTATCAATATGACTTTGAGCAAGTAAATCTTGATCCATTTATTGCTTTTCTAATAAAAAACAAATAAGCATCAAAATACCCCTTGAGCAAGAAAATCTTGGTATATACACTGTTTTTCAAGAATATGTAATATGAAATTAGGCAAAGCCACAAAACATAGGCATATAAACCTATGAAAGTCTGTTTAAAAAATTGTTCATTTTTCAATTTCAAAGGTGTCATTTTGTATTTCATGCAACACTTCCGTTTTCACTCGGAACACTCGACGATTATTATCAATCCGAAAAGTTACAATTGTTCCTTTATCAGAATAATCCGCCGATTATCATCAAGTTACATTGAAAATGGCGGCGCCCAACTAGAACTGACACTGCAAATTTAATTGAAAGCTATATAAATCTGTTTATTCTTTGTTTTTTGTTTGATTTCATTTTAAATATACACGTGTAGTCTATATCCGGGCAAGCCAAAGTCCGGTACCAGATTCGCAGTCCCGGTCTTTGACTTCCCCGTGTTAAATACAAAAGAATATCAACTCACTGTTACTAATTTACTAATCTCTTGTTCAAGCCTCTCCAGATCTTGATGTTGTTGTTCGGACATTTGTCGGAGGTAACGCTCGTTGGGATATGATTTGGTTTCACTACGGTTACTAAAAATAGTATGTTTAAATTTCAAGTGGGTATGACAAAATAGAATAATTTAATAACTAAAAATATAAAATTATGTTATTATAAAATTATGCAAGTACTTTCAATCTACTGAACAAATATTAACATCTTTTTTTTTAATATCACAGTCCGGTTAAACAATCACAATACCATATCAGAACAAACTTTCTACAATCATGTCATAGGAATTTTTTCTTAAATTTTTATTTTTTTTTCACTGAAATATCCAAATTTGGAAACTCAAAATAATTATTAATGTGTGCATTATTTCTTGCAATTTGACCAGGCAAAGAACCACTAGCAATTTGTAAATAATATTTAGAGTCAATGATGTGATCAACAAGTGGAAACTATTCGGAGCTACGAACCATTCTGCAGTTCAGTCTGCTAAATATGCATAATTTTGATTCTGACAAAAAATAATTTTACTAAGAATATAAAAAACAGTTTTTACCCTGAAACATAGAAATATTGTTTTTTATGCAATAAAAGAACAAACTTACGCTGCCATATCATTGTCAGGGGCATATAATAAACTTCTGTATTCATTTGTCGAAAGTCCCTGAAAGTAAGATACTAATTTGTCAAAAATAATACATACATGTATTTAAATGCAGCTATATCTGCCTTACAAAAGATAACACCATGGCAATTATATCACCAGTTATAAAGATTTTTGACAAATTATATTGTTAATTATATTGTCATATATAAAAGGGGCCCAAACCATAAGGCAAGGGTTATATTGCAAATTACCCTTTATATACAGCCATATAACAAATTTATAATGAATTTTAAAGGATATAGCAAACTTCTTTTTTTTGATGGATCAAATGCAACCATATAATTTATATGTCACAGCACTATTTAAAGGAGAAGATGTGCTTGGTCGTATTAACCACAAAATGATATTTCAAGGGTCCCGGGTTCAAGTATCGATCAGGCCTGCACAATTTGCTCACCCTGTAACATTTGACGCTCAACAGGGGACTATGACTGCATATATCTCAGATTTTTATTTATATTGCTCGGACAGTCGGTAACCCTGAGCAATTTGAAGATAGTGGTGGGGTATGCCACAGCACTTTTTAGGGGAGAAGATGGGATAGCTCAGTAGATACATCTGTGGGACAACATTCAAAGGTTCACAGGTTCGAGTCCCAGTCAGGCAGCACAATTTTCTTACCTTGTGACATATAGATTATATAAATGTCACAATTATCTAATGAAAAGTGACGTTATAAACGTAAACTTATTGGTGACTGTGCCCTAAATGGATGGACCCTAATTAAATATAAATAAAAATTTTTAATATAAAAATATATTTATTCAAATTGATGTGATTTGCAGCAAAATGTTAAGAAATTTTTAACTTTTTTTTTAACAGTGGGCTTGGAAATTGCCAAGTAATTATTCAAAGGAAATAAAATGCTTACCAAATTAACCTTTATGTCAAACTTTAAACACTTTAATGTTTAAATATTAATATGGTAACTTTAAAAATTCTTTGAAAAATTGGGCTCCTTTTATTTCAGAGTGGCAATATAGATCTGAAAAGCTTTATTTATTTGCATTTATTTCAGAGCATTAATAAGGAGTTTAAACATTTTGATGAAGATATTTGCATGTACATCATTCTTTTTTTATTTCGTTCATTCCTTTCCTGTTCAATAAGAAAAATTTGAAAATTCACATAAAACACTTTAATCATTGATCCTTCAGCTTATGTATTTCTTTTATGAGCTTATCATAAACTAAAATTAATAACCAAAAAAAAAAAGTACACTGTGCACAGAAGAATTTATGCATCATGATAACATTGTAATAAAACCTGAAGATGTATGCACCTGTATTAAGGTAAAACTTTAATTAACTCTAATAAATCTTGATAAGGGAATTAACTAGGATTACCTCAACATTGATTCAACTCTTATATAAGAGCAAAACATTCCCAGGCAAATTAAGGTTGACATTGTGTGACATATAGTTCTTCATTGAAAGACTTTGCTTTTTTATTTTTTTCTACGGTTTTACATTTGTCCGAAATTGCAAATTTGACCTATGTAAAATATGGCTTCAAATCTACAGTGTACGTCTAAATATTTTGGACTTGCGAGACTTAAGAGCTCATAATTAAACCTATACATAGAAAATTCAACATCCTGGCATTTTTTCCCCTATTCCATTTAAGTTTAAGTGTCCTGTCACTGCTGAACATCAATATGTTTTGTGGTCGAAAACAGGAAAAGTCAGGTTAGTATTTTAGATTTCTTTTTTCAAAAATAAGGGGAGCTTACTCTGACAAGTTTTTCTTTCAGTCTTGACATTTCTTCTTCTTTTTCTCTCTCAAGCTGTCTTTTTAAAGTAACCAGAGCTTCATCCTGTAACAAAAATTATACTTGGTATCAATATCAGATTTATTCATAGTATCCTTTTAAAAGTCACTTAAAAGCAATTTAAAATCCTACACTAGTACTGAGTGTATTTACTCGCCCATAACACTGACCATCTATAAGACAGGGGTCTATATTTCACACTTAACTGTAATTTCATTTGACCAGGAATTTCAATTTGAGACAATTACTTGACATATACTTGTATATATTATAATCCATTATTGTTCTGACACAAGTCATGCAGTCCCACCATCAGTAATCTTTACTTGTGAAGATTTCATTTAATGAATTTCACTGCTTCCATATATTGTTAATGTAATACTGGATTGTGTGACCTTTATTGTAGTGGACTGTATGATACATGTAGCTCCTTATCAATTGTAAAATACACTCACATGATTGTATGTACATTAGAAATGAACAATATTTGTATAAACATTAAATATCAAACTTCCAAGCATTTCTATGCTTCTACATCATTCATCTTACAAAATGTCTTCAAATGTTTAACATTCAACTCTTTTTGCACATTTTTTGCAGAAATTTAATATTTTTAATTGGAAATTTGATAATAAGGAGCAAAACATTGAATATCAAAATAAAACACAATTCCATGCAATCATCAAGCGATTGTCCTTCAAACATAAAAACAAAGGTCGTAGAAACACTTCAAATCTTAAATTGAGATAAAATAAAACATGCAATGACCTTTCATGCAATTATTAAGAACACATGTCTTTGGTCCCGATTTGAAGGAAAGATAGAAAACAAGTTGTTTTATCTTTTTAAATGACCACTCCTTATTTCTTTAATCTGGCATGGTGTAGCCTTAACCTGTGACCTTCCAAAGTCAATCTAAAGTTATGTCATGACTTTTGAAGGACATAATTAAGTCATAATCCTATTGAAGAAGGTTATTTAATGCAATAATCAAAATGCATGCTTAATCAAAATACATGCTTTATTAATACAATATTTCAAAACCTTTGATAACTTAAAATTATCAAAATGTTATCTTCAAAACATTTCAAACAAATTTAAGTGTCAATTAAAGACATTAGAAAGATAATTAATAAACAATCTGCAAGATAATGCATAGCACAGCATAGTTTACATTTCTGTCCCAAATTTTGTTCCAAATCCGCCTGAAATTGCAATTCTGTAAGGAGGGAATGAAGAACATAGGAAAAACAAGAACATAAAACAATTTTATCCAACATTAAATATGACATAACATAAAAGAACATTATACAACAACACAAATCTGAAAAAGAAAAGCTGATGCCTTTTTTTCATCATTGTTTCTGGCATTTCTAAATAAGTTTGTGCATATATCTCTGAAGAACCCGGAAATTAAAGTGGTAGAAAGTTTGATATCACACAGTGTACCCATGTGCAGCAGGTATCATAAAACACATCAAGAAATTAAATGACACATAAACAACATAAAATGTAAAATCTGCAATTTGGTGATTAAACAACAACAAGTCATGCACAGAGCAGAAGAAATAGAACTATCACCTGCAAAATGTTAGAAGTATCCGGCTTAACATATTTATTTCAGACAAAATTCACCCCCCCACCCCCCAGCTTTAAAGTGGCATTGAATTTATTTTATCCACACTATACTAAAGGTGTCATATATAGGAACTATCCATGGTGTTATATAAAGACATAATGTGTCACAACAGCAGGGTATCAATTTTGGAATCAAAGATGTATGATTTAAAAATTATAGTTCTAACCCAATTTGGAATACAAATTTTAGCAGCATTTTGTTAAGAAATGGAACTGAAGTTTTTGAGTCAGGCTGATTCCAAATCTCTTATTTTATAAATACACATATTTCACTACCATGACTACAATGTGTAGCTATTCAATTGGAATTCTTTTGGTCTTAAATTTAGGAAAAAATAAAATCTCTTTCAACTAGGAATTAAAAACCTAGTATTGACTGTAAAATCAACTTAATAATTACCCCCTTCCCCCCGCCTCCCTTCCCCAAAAAAAAAACAAAAAAAAAACAACAACCCTGAGTATATTATACAGATAAATAATTGCCATGGCAACAAATAACATTTAGATTGTGTTTTACAATTGCATATTCTTTTTCAAAAATGAGTGAACTTTAAAGGAATGAATCTTACTAAAATATTGAAAATTTATCAATTCCATGACTACATTTGAGCCGCGCCATGACAAAACCAACATTGCATTTGCGACCAGCATGGATCCAGACCAGCCTGCACATCTGCGCAGTCACTGGTTTTTTCATGGTGCGACTCAATTTTGACTTTTAATGATATAGAATGGTTTAATAACAGAAAAAGAAGAGAAACACTGGTGGACAAAGAACAAATTAACAATCCAAATGTTGAGTGGGTGGGGTAAAGGGTTGAAGGAAGAAGTTCTATAGTACCATTTTCACTATGTCCTCAGCCATTTTCCTATTCTGTAAGTAGAGAAATTTTAAATCTGATTACAAAATACTGGAAAAGGAGTAAGTCAGTTTAAGTCTGTTTTCTTTAATAAAGATGTAAAATTCTGTCTAAGGTTAAGATTAATATGGTACAATTTTTTGTTAAAGGAAGGACGACTGTGTCTTGCAAATATGGAAAAATAAAATTTGTAAAGTTATATCAGCTGAAGCAAAGTGCCTAAAGTTATTTATGTTTCAGTTAGAAAACCAGTCAAGTCAACTCTAGCATTTGATTGGTTGTTTTTCAGAATGACACTTACAAGACAACAAATCAAAATGCAGCAATACCAGACTGGTTTTTGCAAATCCTAGGAATCAAAATGTGAGGAAGCTTGAAGCAATTCACAACAGAAAAGTCATAATTATACTATCTTTAATCCCAAGGACTATTAATTTTCATTTAAACTATGTGTACAAATTAAAGGCACATTGTGGTTCAGAATCAAGTAAATTTTTACTTTGTATAAAGAGCAAACATGAATTTTATAGCATTCAAATAATGGTTTTGGAGCATGTTAGATGCTTGTTAATGAGGAAAATAGCACTAACTGTGAAATAATTTGTCATACTACAAATGCACTATAAATGTAAACAAAGTAGTTTTTTGACTTCCATACAAAATACTAAATTATTATAACTATATACTAATGGCCAAGAAGCAACAGTTCAGATAATTTGCCAATGAGTAACATTTTGGACACTATAAAGATACCCAAAACAAAAACATTTTGAAAAGTGAAAATATAAGCATTTCTGGGGCATAATGGACCTTTAAGTATACATGACATAAACTTGCAGTTGCTAAAAATTAAATAAATTTAATGAAATAAAATTATCTTCCCAAAATATTCCATATATTATATCAAAACTTTGACAAACTTATTGTTCACCACAGATTCCGTAATTTAATTACAGGGTTACGACTATAATTACTAAATACATGTTTCACAAAACTGGCAAATCACAAAACTTGTACATGTACATAACTAAAAGCTGTGTGTCACAAAATATTTACGTCACAATCAAATATTAAATATTAAAAGTTAGCAAATTAAAGAAGCTGTGTTATACTAAAGTTAGTACCTTTTGTCTATCTGCGACATTAAGTGTGTTACGCTGTACCTCTAATTCCCGCTGTAAGTCGGTCACATGCATTCGGAGTTCCTCGTTACATGCACGAAGGTTAGCCTGAAATTAGTACTCCCAGTTGTTAAAATATTATTATACCCCCACCACAAAATGTGGGGGGGGCTATAATGGATTCGCTTTGTCGCGTCGGTCGGTCAGTCGGTCGGTCGGTCCGTCCGTCTCCATTTTCGTGTCCGCTCTATAACTCCTATACCACTTGAAGGATTTTCTTCAAACTTGGCTCAAATGTTCACCTCAGCAAGGGGATGTGCAGAACCCATGTTGCCCATGTGTCAGCTCAAGGTCAAGGTCACAATTGAAGGTCAAATATCAAACACAATCATATATTAGACAGTATGTCGTGTCCGCTCTGTAGATCCTACAATAATTGAAAGATTTTCTTCAAACTTGGCTAAAATGTTCACCTCAACAAGGGGATGTGCAGAACTCATGTTGCCCATGTGTCATTTTAAGGTCAAGGTCACAATTGAAGGTCAAATATCAAACAATCAAATATTACACAATATGTCGTGTCCGCTCTGTAAGTCCTACACTAATTGAAAGATTTTCTTCAATCTTGGCTCAAATGTTCATTTCAACAATGGGATGTGCAGAACCCATGTTGCCCATGTGTCAGCTCAAGGTCAAGGTCACAATTGAAGGTCAAATATCAAACAATCAAATATTACACAGTATGTCGTGTCCGCTCTGTAAGTCCTACACTTATTGAAAGATTTTCTTCGAACTTGGCTCAAATGTTCACCTCAACAAGGTTATGTGCAGAACCTATGTCACTCTTTTGCCAGCTTAAGGTCAAGGTCACACTTGAAGGTCAAAAATTGACTTAGAAAATGTTCTTTAATTTTAACATATATCTGAATATTTCTGAATCTAGAAAAGGTATTTGCTTGAAACTTAAAATATAAATGAAGTGTCACAATTAAGATATGCTGGTCAAGTTTCATAACTCTGTATTGCATTTTAACAAAGTTATGCCCCTTTTTAATCTTCAAATTTACATACAATCACATATTAGACAATATGTTGTGTCCGCTCTATAAATCCTTTACTAATGGAAGAATTTTCTTCAAACTTTTCTCAAATGTTCACCTAAACAAGGTTATGTGCAGAATCCATGTCACCTTTGTGCAGGCTAAAGGTCAAGGTCAGACTTGAAGGTCAAAAATTGACTTAGAAAATGTTCTTAGATTAAAACATGTTCTTGAAATTATTTCGGAAACTAGCATAGGTATTTGCTTGAAACTTAAAAGATATATGAGGTGTCACAATTACGATATGCAGGTCAAGTTTCATAACTCTGTATTGCATTTTGACAAAGTTATCCCCCTTTTTAAGTCTTTAAATTTACATACAATCAATACTAGACAATATGTTGTGTCCGCTCTATAAATTCTATACTAATGGAAGGATTTTCTTCAAACTTTACTCAAATGTTCTCTCCAATTGGGCGATGTGCAGAACCCATCATACCCTTGTGCCAGCTGAAGGTCAAGGCCACACTTGAAGGTCAAAAATTGACTTATAAAAGTTTAGTATATTGGGAAAATGAAAGGTTATTTGTAACTGTTTCGAACATGATTTGATAATAGATATTTTTACTATTACCTGTACAATTAGTCTTTTTTTCACCAGAGATAATTTCTTTTTATGTATTTGTGCCACTTAAGTTATTCCCTTAACCACCTTTCCAAGTTGTCTTCTGTCAAGGACATTGGTGAGGGTATGAATCGCATTCAGCGATAGTTCTAGTTATTTACAAACATTTTCTTTTTCTGTTACAGTTATACCTGTCTTTATAGACCATGCTGTATAAGGTTAGCCTGAAATTAGTACTCCCAGTTGTTAAAATATTATCATTTACAAACATTTTCTGTTTCAGTTATACCTGTCTTTAAAGACCATGTAGTGTAAGGTTAAGGTGTCTGTCTCTTGGCCACTATATATACTCTGGTAACACCCCCGTGGTTTGTCATATGACACCAAAACTTAGTTAAAGTTCCAGAAAATGGACATGTAGGGAATTAATTTTTAGCACAATCAAACTGTGAGTTATATGTTAATCAAAGGAAAAATCGGAAAAGTTATCATTGCAAACAAGTTTTTATCTGTGTATAAATAATTCTGAACAGCATTTGAAAAAAATGACAGTTTATAAGGGGTGGGGTATTTATTCTTTAGACTGGTCTCTTAAAACAGGTTTCTTAAGTGGTCTCTCAAGAAAGATATAACTGTAATAATTAAGAAACAAAATATTTATAACTAAAATATGTTACTGGTTAACATAAAATGTGTAAACACAAAAACATATATACATATAGTTTAAATCACAATTATATTAGTGTGGAGTTATCAAATTTTAAGAAATGAACATATTTTTGGTAAAGGTGCAGAAGTTTCTTGATTTAAAAAAAAAAAACAGACGCCATTGGTAGCATTCAATATATCAAAGAAATATTTAAACAATTTCTGTATAATTTAACAAAAGTTTATCCATTTTTTTTATAAATAATAATATCAGCATAAATTGGGCATATCAATAAATATACAATAAAGAGATATTCAAGAAATTAAGATATAAGTAAACAATAGAGCTAACAGTTTCTGAGTGACAGAGCACTCAGAACTTGATAGTAATGCAAACACTGTGAAATTTACAAAGGGGAACAATCCAGTAAAAATCTTAGCTGGAGTTATGGATCTTAAACTATGATATACATACATGTGCATAATTTCAGGTAAAAACTTTCTGGAGATGACTTTCATGAGATAATAAGTAGCATGTAAAACCTCCACCAAGTGTTACCCTTATTACAGACCCACTATTCTCAGTAACTTAAAGGAAAAAAGGAACTTGTTTTTGATTGAAGAACATTTATTTGGGAAAAACTCCTTTCGTCGTTGAATTTTCTGAATAAATTTGTTCAACTTCCATGTAAGATAACAGCAACATATTGTAAACTAAAAGTCAAAATTTTATTATTCTGTTGGGTTTTTTTTTGTATAAATAAGATCTACATTCAAAGATTATATATGATATGAGAAGAAAAAGAAAAACCTCAAAATTAAAATAGAATTATGCTAAACAGATTTTGTCAAAAGAATGAAAAGGAAGGATAAACAAACAATAAATATGTTGAATATAATCCTCTACAAATGTACATTACGTATAGGATATCGACCGAGTACGAGGTCTTTCTGTTTAGGAAAGACCTGGTCACGAATTTCATGTGACACCGAGAGCGCGTAGCGCTCGAGGTGTTTCATGAATTTCGTGACCAGGTCTTTTCTAAACAGAAAGATCGATGTACGAGGCCGATATCCAACTTACACACCGTCAAACTATATTGGCCTGAGGAATGGCTGATCTGAAGCATTTGATGTATTATACACAAATCTTATTTTTAACATAACACATAAACAGGTAAGTTTTTTTTCAACGTTCTGCTTAAATACAATATATATTTTGTATTTAACTTTGCTTTTCCCTTGAAGATAATAATAAAAAAGCTATTTGTCAATTATAAAGTGAATAGGTCTGCAATGAAGATATGTTAAAGAACGATTAATTATGTTGATCAAACAATGCAGATTCTAGGACATTTGCCGTCGGACAGTTGCCTTCTCGGACGTTTGCCCCCCCCCCCTTTTTTTGCTGTTGCGACTTGTCACTCTCGTGTATAGATTTTTTGTATGCCAATGGAAACTATCACAAATTTTCGCGATATTTTTGTGTATTTAAGCACAATGAAATTTCGACAATAGGCCATGAATTTGGGTAGCAAACAATTCAACAATAAAATATTTAACATTTTTTAAAACAAGGAGGGGGCACATGCCCGTCCTTCCAAATATATGAGGGGGCAAATGACCGCTATTGCAAAAGGGAGCAAACTTCCGAGGGGGCATCTGTCCGAAAAGTAATGTCCTGATGCCCAGAAGACCACGAAAAACTTACATATGTATATTGATGGCAAGTGTGAGATACATAAACCGAAACTATATTTTATATAGCAGATTATAAAGTGTTCTAGAATAAAATATGATCGGTCATCATAAATTTTTTATACTAAGTCACTAATAACTTTATTAACATTTTAAAATGTTAAATTTTTAAAGTATGCTGTGATTACTGCTTCATAGTACTTGAATCATCTATTTTGTTACATTGTGACTTAATGACAGAAGAACCACTTAGATTACTATTACATTGAAAAATGACGCGATTAAATAAATAATTAAACGTGTCCTAACTTTGATATGCTATCCATTATTTTTATAGAAAGATTTAATATAGGGATGTTGGAATAATTGCTAAGTGCATTCAATAAACATTATCTTGTTTGAAAAAAATTATCCTGATTTTGTAAGACAGAAACATTATGACAATCATTAAATTTTACACTTAAGTTCAATTTTTAATTTTTGATTGCATTTCATGTTTTCTTTGTCTGTGCATTGACAGGTCTATTTTTCCACGTGTATTTCATGACCGGGTCTGTCTGACTAGAACAGACCTGTGCACGTGCAAAAGATAGACCTCATAATGGAATTTCTTTTTTTAAACAGGTCTATCAGAAAAATATAGACCTGTCAAAAACAATAGAGGAGGTGTGTAAATATGTAATGCAAAGATTTATTTATTCAAAGGGTCACAACTCTATGTGAGTATTCATCAGTTTAAATGGAAAGGGACACAAGTCAATGTAACTGATGATCTTAGCATTACTATTTCACTGGAGGATGATATAGGCGCTTCAGTTACTATACAAATATTCCATATACCAAAATCAGCTTTGCATGCAGACCAAAATATCAAACCTTGACAGAGTTAAGGTGCAAGTGGTGTACAGAGAACACCATTTGGGGCACATTAAGTGGCAATTCCTACAAGACTACAACCAAGACTGACAGACCTCTAAGCCCTTTAATATAATCAAAAAGTTTTCAAATGCTATTGAAAGTAATCAAATGCTATTGAAAAGCAATTTCCAAAACCAAATATTTTAACATCATAATAATGATATGATTCTCAATGATTTGAATAAAGAACAAATGCTAAAAAAATAACACATAGTATCCAAAAATCAGTAAATTTATAATTGTAAAAAGTTCAAGGAAAGCGTTAATACTGGGTGTATAAAATAACCCCTAATGGTGCGTAATATACATGTATATCTGACAGGAATGGTGGGTACCCCATTACCACACTACTGTATTGACAAAAGGTGCATTAATATTACCCTATCTGTTTTAAATTCCTTGTTTTGTTGATTCTCGTCCTTAGGGCCTACCCTTGGAGAAGTAAGTATCTTAAACTGAAACAGTTTGGACTTTATTCAGTATGGATATATCAATAATAAATAAATTATACTCAAATAAGATTCAATAATAAAAAATAATTATAAGCTCGTGTAATTACCGTGTAAATAACAAAAGAATTTTTTTTGAAAGTAAGGATTTTTATGATAGAAGTTTTTAATTATCAATATCTTGAAAAAAAACACAAAAGTCATAATATATCATCAAAACATGCTGAATAATAATTCCCTTTATTTACACATTAATATGAAATAAAAATCTGACTGCCCAAACTTTAAAATATTCAATTCTATTTCTTACTTAAGAAATAATATATCCCAAACATTGATTTAATCGCTGAATAAAATCACTGTTTGGAGTTCAGATGCGAGGAATTATATCACAAGGGCCTAGCCCTAGTGATTAATAATGCGCATCCAAACAAGAAACAGTGATTTTATCAAGTGATAAAATCACTGATTGGGATATATTATTTTGATTCTAACACAATTTCAACAATTAACACCTGCCGTTCCTGATATCAAGCTAAATTGCGCCTGATCGGGTCATGTTAGAATTTTTTTGTTTACTTTAAAAACAGATTGATTGCAAAAATGCAATAACAAATCTATACTCTTGAACCCTGAAATGAATTTTTAATATCAGATACTTATGAATAGCACAAATAACACAAACATATATTGTCCCAAATGAAAAACAAACAAACAAAAAACAACAACAACCTAGCAATACTAGATGTACTAAATAAAAACAGGACCATGAAATAGAACCAATGAATGCTCTCCTGAACATTACACTAACACAAAATAAAATTTATAGCAAAACTATAATGAATACTAGAAGAGTATTATTTTTAGACTTGGTGACCTTGACCCTGTCAAGCTGAAAACCATTTAGAGGATAAAAGTCCATACAAGGTTTATACATGTCAAATATCTAAGACCTGTTTGCTTCCTACCTTGGTCTGAGTTTGTAAACAAGAGCGATCAGTAATCAAATGTGTCGCCTCATGATGGCCAATTTCATGTTGGGACAAGTTTTGTGACAGACAGACGGACAGTGCACAACTAGACTTGGTACTGATCATTCCTGTAAAGTTTGGATAAAATTGCACCAGTAGTTTATGAGGAGTAGTCCGGACAAGCTTCTGTGTATCTGGCAACACACAGAAAAAACACCTTTTTATCAAAGGGCAATAACTTGGCCAAAAATCATTCAACCGGAAAACCCGTGCAATATGCACAAGGACTTGAGCTACAGATCAATCCTGTAAAGTTTCAATGAAATTGCATTAGTGGTATAAGAGAAGTAGTCCGGACAAACTTTAAAAATAAAAATTATTAAAGGGCCATAACTCTGACAAAAATCATTGAACCGGAAAATGCTGACAATATGCATTACTAGACTTGGTACTGATCATTCCTGTAAAGTTTGGATGAAATTGCACCAGTAGTTTATGAGGAATAGTCCGGACAAGCTTTTGTGTATCTGGCAACACACAGAAAAAAACACCTTTTTATCAAAGGGCCATAACTTGGCCAAAAATCATTCAACCGGAAAACCCGTGCAATATGCACAAGGACTTGAGCTACAGATCAATCCTGTAAATTTTCAAAGTTTCATTGAAATTGCATTAGTGGTATAAGAGAAGTAGTCCGGACAAACTTTAAAAATAAAAATTATTAAAGGGCCATAACTCTTACAACAAGAGGGCCATGATGGCCCTGAGGTCGCTCACCTGTATATAGCCCCCCCCCCCCCCCCCCCCCCCCGGCCAATTTATCCAAGGGCTTTTATTTGAACAGACTTGGTAGACACCCATAAGAAGATGTTTCATGCTAAACATCTAAGTTCTAGCTCATTGGGTTTTTTAAAAGAAGATTTTTTAAGTTTTTACTATACACATATAGTTAAAAACAATGACACCCCTGGGGCAGGGCCAGTTTTGACCCCCGGGCTTTTATTTGAACAAACTTTGTAGATATTTACTTAAAAATGTTTCATGTATAATATCTAAACTCAAGCTATTTGGGTTTTTTCAGAAGATTTTAAAGTTTTTGCTATACACATATAAGGAAAATCAATGACCCCCGGGGCGGGCCAGTTTTGATCCCAGGGCTTTTATTTGAACATACTTGGTAGACACTCATTAGAACATGTTTCATGCTAAATATCTTAGCTCTAGCTCTTTGAGTTCTTTAAAAGAAGATTTTTTAAGTTTTTACTATATGCATATAGGGAAAATACATGACCCCCCTGGGGCGGGGCCAATTTTGACCCCAGGGCTTTTATTGGAATAAACTTGGTAGACGCTCATTAGAAGATGTTTCATGCTAAATATCTTAGCTCTAGCTCTTTGGGTTCTTTAAAAGAAGATTTTTTAAGTTTTTACTACATGCATAATAGGGAAAATCAATGACCCCCTGGGACAGGGCCAATTTTGACCCAAGGGCTTTTATTTGAACAAACTTGGTAGACACTCACCAGGGTTGCCAGCACTTTGGTGAAATAAAATTCCCTGACTTTTCCCTGACTTTTCACTGACCAATTCATGTTTTTCACTGACCAAAATCGTCAAACACATAAACGGCCTCCTGACCTCCCCTATAGCCGTCCAATCCTCCCATTATATTTTTGCATGTAAACTTGTATATATTTTCCAAAATATAAAAAATTTACATCAAAGTAATGATTCAAACATTGTGTTCTACTATTCTTAACTATTTCTATTCAAACACAGTGTGGCTGTTGGTCAGTGAAACATACGACATGAAAATCAGAAGAATCATAATATAAGCATCTGTATTAGAAATCACATAAGTCACTCTTTCCTTCCTAGTAGTAACACATAAATCACCAAGACTATAAGAGTAATTCTTGTATGACAAAGCTTAATATTCAAACATCTCTAAACTATAGGAACAATAAACATTTAACACAGTTACTTGTATAAGGCATTATGATAAACTCCACTGATTGTGAAAACAAGAACATAGGGCTCATTTTGGCATATCATGAAATAATCACTATAAAATTAAAGACTCTGAATGAGTGAAGTAAGTTAGTGTGAAAAAAGTTAGTGTGAAAAACATAGCATTGCATAATTTAACCAGTTTCCATCATGTTTGCAAGACAAATCCTCTTGTACAATTTCTTAGTGTCAAAGCAAAAAGCAAAGGAGGGCTTTTAATTACTAACAAAATCAAGTCAGTATATATGTATACCAAACTACCATATTGGCATATAACCTGCTTTGCTTTTTGCTTTGACACTAAGAAATTGCACAAGAGGATTTGTCTTGCAAACATGATGGAAACGTACTGGTTAAATTATGCAACAGAAATTACGTATTAGTCAGCTCTGGAGGCAAGGGTTGCAAAGCCTTTCAGTCTTTAGGCTGAATGATGTTCTAAGGTAAATAATGGGTAATATAATCACAAAGTTAACATATAATGCTTCTTAATATCATAGTTTACTGTTATTTGAATTTAATGCTTAACTGTGAGAGTAATAAAGTCAAATATTAAATGCCTAAAGACTGCCATAGCCAAGAAAGACCTTCAATGTGTATATTTTTCGACCTTTAAAATAATTTTTCCCTGACTTTTCACTGACTTTTCAGGATTTTCATTTTTCACTGACCAAATTTCAAAATTCCCTGACAATTCCCTGACCTTGAAAAAATACCCAATTTCCCTGACTTTTCAAGTCTGCTGGCAACCCTGCTCACTAGAAGATGTTTCATGCCAAATATCTAAGCTCTAGCTCTTACGGTTCTTTAAAAGAAGATATTTAAAGATTTTTCTTTCGGTTGCCATGGCAACCAGAGTTCTGCATGAAATGAAATTCTTTGAACAATCTTGATAGAGCTTCATACAAAGAGTATTCCTGCCAAGTTTCATTAACATTGGCCTTGCGGTATCATAGAAGATGTCCTTAGAATATTTAAAATATGGACGGACGACAGACGACGGACGCCATTTGGTTGGCCATCCTAAAAGCTCACCTGCACTTTGTGCAAGGTGAGCTAAAAATCATTGAACCAGAAAATGCTGACAATATGCACAACTAGACTTGGTACTGATCATTCCTGTAAAGTTTGGATGAAATTGCACCAGTAGTTTATGAGGAGTAGTCCGGACAAGTTTTGTGACGGACGGACGGACAGACAGACGGACAGACAGACGACGGAGAAGTGATCCCTATATGTCGCCACTACTCCGTAGAGGCGACACAAAAATCTTTATATTGTAGTAAATAGATAAAGATTGTGTGAGTTAAAATTAAAATATATATATTTCATTATTGCATATATCAGACAGGATTATCTACTTATTACACCGGTGCAAGAAAAACATGTCATGTCATTCTGGGGTGCCTTTTATGTATCAAATGTGTTCTTAGATTGACATCATTTTGCCGTTATGAATGAAATTGTAAATTCATTCGCAACTATAAGAAAAAAGTGCTAACTGACAATTTTAGTGTTTGTAATTTCTTTCCGAAACATGATTGATATGTCATATGCAAGAAAAAGAATCAAACACCAGTTGTTGTAACATACTGGGATATCGGGCAACTGTTAAATGGAAACACACAGAGCCTCATTACTGCTGTAAACAGTTACCCCCGAAACTAGATATTCCAGTCTGACATCCTCATAATAAGCCTCTATGAAAGTGCTGTATGAAACAGTAAGTGGCAGGACTAGCCAGTTACAATATGCTTTCTTTTGGTAAATAATTGGGTATGAAAGGCTAACTTCAAAAGCTTAGCTAGCCACTGGTTCAAAGTGCCTTGCTGCCTGCAAGGTTTTTGACATTTTTGTTAAATACATTTGTCATACAAAGAAGTGAAATAATACAAATAAGTTCTAAAATGATTATTAAAAACAGATTTTAGAATTTGAAAAATAAAGCTCTCTGTTTTCATGCCAAGATTACTTTAAAACTTGTGCTCAGAAGGTGATAAACACAACAAAATAGACAGCAGTGAAGCACAGGAAACTTTTTGTCCAACTAATTTTGAAAATATCTCTGATTTTTTATAATAGCAAATTGATGCTTGTTAAGAACAATATCAATACCCTTTGTCCCATTCCCAACCACCTATCTTTTTTTCAACCTTTTTTTATCCAATAAAAAAGGCCATCAATTAGAGTATGACCATAATCCAATGATATTGAAATCGTAAATTCTTGTTAATTTATAACTGCTTTTAAATTTTGTATAAGCAGAAGTGATTTTTTAAGGTCAGTATGGAATGGTTCCCCGACCCATACTGATCATTTGGATGGGGAAAATAAATGGGGTCACCCTTATCATTTTGGAAAACAAAACAAAGTTAACAATACCCTTTGCAAATAGCTAGGTACCATACAGACCAAAATTGTCAAATACCCGAGTGTCTTGTCAGGTTTTATGCTAGACAGTTAATGTTAGACAGTTGCCCTTTTATTCTTTTTTTATTTAAAGATTTGATTATACTTAAGAATATTAATATAGCAAAAACATTTTAAGAGGACAGTGCTGAATTTCTCTCAATTCTACAGTACAAAGCTGATCCTAAAATTTTACTTACATTGTAAAAAAGAATGAGGAATGAATGAAATTCTAAATTGCAAGTGTTCTAGCTATAATATTTAGGAGAATGTGACCTGGTGTAAAGCATTTGCTCCTCTGACAGGAAAAGTAATCATTCTATTTGGCTACAAATAAACTAAATCTGATTTCCATGAAAAAAATATCTTAATTTTTAGGTAGTGCAAAGAAGAAAATATCCTTAGAACAGGTAAAGATGTGACATTGGTGCAGAAAGTTCTAACAATTATATTTGGTGTTCTGATACCCCCTTTATGAAAAAATAAAATATCTACTCCGACACTACACAAAAATAAAACTAAGTAGCAGCACACGCGTTTCTATTAATAGAACAAACCTCGCTTCCGCGACAAACTTCTTGGGCGTCCGTAAACAAGAACAGGTCATCTCGGGACTTTTGCTTAAAAGTTTATAAAAAAGGGGAGACAAATATGAATAATAAAGAACATATAAGGGGACACAATTCTAATGATAAAAGAATGTAACATATAAATAAAAGGTGTATGTGCCTCGGAAAAGTTATAAAAGAACAGTGAAATGATATGAAAGAATGGTATGAAATTATATGAAATAATGATAAATAGATAAAATAGGTTATAAAAATAAAATATCAATAAGAAATTTCTATGACACTATCTTATCTTGATTCCTAAATTGTCTTTAAACTTTGGTTTGTGTGTTGTCACTAAAACAGAGTAAAGATCATATGACAACTTAATTTTAGTTTTATTTGCGGAGAAAGATGTCAGGTGTCCCTCTGACTCTAAGCCTTATATCATATATTTATTTCAGGCAAAAGGTGGCACTAAAATAAGAGTCAAGAACCTTTCGCAACTTAGCTTGATGATGATGAACAAGGAAGGCAAAAACATGCTTTTGTTTTGTTTTTCTTCACTAAGTTATTTACAAATTTACAAAATTGCAGAATGCCAAGATGTTGACAAATGATGATAGAAATGACAGTCTGTGGGCGTATGACATTTCACAGCAAACTGGTCAAAAACAGTTGCAAAACTACTAGTTAATTAGATGTAATAATATAAGATAAAGTAATGACATTATAAATGAAAAAAAATATCATAAATTAATCCTCTTGAAATATTATCATGTACAGTCATGTGATATTATAAATTTTACACAGATTTTTTTTCCTGCAAATCTAAAATTCTTAAATAACAGCATGTCTTAATAAGCCCTTAATACATCTGCAAGTGAAAAATCAAACAAACAAACAAACAACAAAACAAAACAAAGGTGATAACATTATCTTACAAACTTAAAATGAATTCAACAAAATTAAAATGGACACCTTTAAATAAATTAAAGAGTCTTTTTAAAATGTATAAATGAAAACTAATCTGTGCTAAATTCTATCTAATATTATTGTAAAAATGATCTGAGAGGTCTAAAACTTGTTAAAACTATGTAACAACATAGTTACAATAATGTTACATTTACATCTGTAAACATTTGATAAAACCTGTCTATTTTGTCAATCCATAAAAACAATATGCCTTTAATTAGAGGCTTTAACATAAAGTTTAGGTATCTTTTTGTCAACTGGATTAGGAATATTAAAATGTATAACAAATATCATAAGACCTTTTTGAATCAGAAATGAATGGGCAGGCAAAAGTAAAGGGAAAGGACAGGCAAGACTAAAAGGAAAGAACATGCAAGAGTAAAGATAACGGACAGAAAAGAGTAAAGGGAAAGAGTAGGCAAGAGTAAAGATAAAAGGCAGGCAAGAGTAAAGGGAAATAGCAGGCAAGAGTAAAGGCAAAAGGCAGGCAAGAGTAAAGGGAAAGGGCAGGCAAGTGTAAAGGGGAAAGGGCAGGCAAGAGTAAAGGGAAAGAGCAGGAAAGAGGAAAGGATAAAGGCAGGCAAGAGTAAAGGGAAAGGGCAGGCAAAAGTAAAGGGAAAGGACAGGCAAAAGTAAAGATAAAGGACAGGCAAGAGTAAAGGGAAAGAGCAGGCAAGAGTAAAGGAAAGGGCAGGCAAGAGTAAAGATAAAGGACAGGCAAGAGTAAAGGCAAAAGGCAGGCAAGAGTAAAGATAAAGGACAGGCAAGAGTAAAGGGAAAGAGCAGGCAAGAGTTAAGTTAAAAGGCAGGCAAGAGTAAAGGGAAAGGGCAGACAAAAGTAAAGGGAAAGGGCAGGCGAAAGTAAAGATAAAGGACAGGCAAGAGTAAAGGCAAAAGGCAGGCAAGAGTAAAGGGAAAGGGCAGGCAAGAGTAAAGATAAAGGACAGGCAAGAGTAAAGGGAAAGAGCAGGCAAGAGTAAAGTTAAAAGGCAGGCAAGAGTAAAGGGAAAGGGTAGGAAAGAGTAAAGGGAAAGGGCAGAATGGGGTAAAGGGAAAGGGCAGGAAAGAGTAAAGGGAAAGGGCAGGCAAGAGTAAAGGGAAAGGGCAGGCAAGAGTAAAGGGAAAGGGCAGGCAAGAGTAAAGGGAAAAGGACAGGCAAGAGTAAAGGGAAAGGGCAGGCAAGAGTAAAGGGAAAGGACAGGCAAGAGTAAAGGGAAAGGGCAGGCAAAAGTAAAGATAAAGGACAGGCAAGAGTAAAGGGAAAGGGCAGGCAAGAGTAAAGGCAAAAGGCAGGCAAGAGTAAAGGAAAAGGGCAGGCATGAGTAAAGGGGAAAGGCAGGCAAGAGTAAAGGTTAAGGGCGGCCAAAAGTAAAGATAAAGGACAGGGAAGAGTAAAGGGAAAGGGCGGGCAAAAGTAAAAGGAAGATTAGCAACCTTTACTGCACAAAATATGCTCTACCAATCTTAAAAGAGATTCAACAAATATTTTAAATATTTTTGCTGTTGATTTATAACATGTGATGATCTTCATAATTATCCGTGTATTTGATCTGGGAGATGATTTTATTGTAAAACGTCCTGTACTTCAAGATGGGTGGGTAAATGACGACAGTCCTTATCTTGAAATTGTCACAAAAACAGGGTTCCAACTTACTTGTAAACTCAAAATGACTTAAAGACAGGTTCTATCTAAGTTGTTTTGAGACAGTGGTTATGGTCTCCAGTAAAATATTTGACTGAAAGTACATTTATACATACCAGTGCTGAGGTTGTTGCAGATTTTGAAGGACCGAGGTTGTTTTGTGAACTAAAAATAGGAAATAACAACATTTTTATTAGCTTAATTAAGTTTTGATTAAACAAAACAGATAACAGAATTGAATAAGGTGTTCACTATAAGTGTCAAAAAATTGATGTTATTCTTTACCTGAAGTGATAAAACTTTGTTTAGACCAACATCTTTAGTGAAAGAAAAAAATTGCTAACAACTTATAGATATGGGTAGACTAAAATTTACTACTGTAAAATCATTATTATTCGTGGGGCACAAATTTTCGTGGTTTTCGTGGGTAGGTCAATCCACAAATGTCGCATATACATACTTGATCGTTGTAGTCTACTAGGACTTGATTGTGTTAACAAAAATACTTAACATAATCGAGTAATGGGAACCCAGGCAGTGCAATAATTAGCGCTAATAAAAATTGTCAGTTTACTCTTACTAATTTAAAAAGTCTTTGATATTAATGTCGTAAGTACACAAAACTATAAAAAAAATATGATCGATAAAACAGATTTATTATACATTCTTTTGTTGTTTTTAAATGATCCAGTATAATGAATTTTAATCTGTATTTGTGCGAACGCTATTCCGTAAACATCAGACGCCACCGACTTTTTTTACTCGTGTTATTTACCGAGATTAATTTACAAAAAACCTGTCAGGTGTCGTATAAATTATGCAATGTTTACATCGGCGAATTACAGGGGCAGTGTGTCCAATGGAGGTGCATATCATGTCACATAAATGTGTTAATTGCAGTCAATTATCGGCAGTAACTGTGCTACATTAGACTTATGCCCAGAGGCAAGGATTAAATTTATTGACACGCGCTGTGTGACAAGTAAAGATATGTACATGTTGTAAGTAAAAATGTTTGGCGATAAAGTTTTAGATTACTTTGCATTAGGTTACTGAATTATTTTTTTAACAAGAAAACGAAAATCCACGAATTTAAGAACCCACGAAAATGCCCGTTTTGATAAAACCACGAAATTTCATGCCCACGAATTTAAGTGAATTCGCAGTATTTAGCTTTAGTGACAAAAAAACTTAACCCAAGAGAAAACACTTAGCTTACTCTTGGTATAAGTGGACAATCAGCTAAAGTGAAAAAGCTTATGTCCTCTCTTCATGTACATTTTATAGTTCAAACTAATAGACTAACCCAAACTGCTAATTAGATGAAATGAAAAGGTAATCTCTTAATTTAACAGGAAAGGCTAACCTTACCACTAAACTTACGTAATAAAAATAATTTCCTAACTACAAATATTGACACGACGACAAAACATGGACATGATTAAAAGAACTAATGAGATGATGGACAAACCTGCCGAGTGATATTTTTCTAGGAGTAAGTCCGAGCATCTCGGATGTTTTCCTGCATTCTTCATTTATCTCATTAACTAAGGTTCGTTCAGTTCTGTCCTGTGAGAAGTTTAGCTCTTTTTGTTGTCTTGTGAAGCGCATACATTCCTCACGAAGCTGACGTAACTCTTCTTCCTGAAGTCTGATTGTGTCCCTTAGTTTCTCGATTTCTTTCTTATGCTCCTGAAATACGCTTTCTTATAAATAAATATGAGGAAATTGAAATGGACAATATGGAATACCAACTTGCGTCCGAGGTAAATAACTCCTATAAAAGATTTCAAAATAGAAATATTTCAAATCATGGTCTTATTTCTAAAACGTTGGCATTTTATACAATATCTACTAAAATCTAATTTTAAAAGGTGTACTGTTTTCAAAGAAAACAGATCTCCTGTCTTTAAAGTGAACTTAGGGAGATATTCCATATTGAAAATGAACCATTTTTTGTATGGAGAGGTGACACTTTGTATGTTAAAGGGTAAAAAAACAACAACAGTAGATGCATTTCACTCAGAATTTTGCTTTTTTTTTCATAAGCCTTTCCTTCAAATATATATCGTTTAATTTAAACATATTTTTAAGCTCAATTAATTGTGAAATATTTCTTGAACCTTAAATTAATTTACTTCCTACTCTCCTTTCTTTCTCTAACTAACCAGTACTGGCGTCATATGAGGAAATACGGCTGAGACCAAAGTAGGGCACAAACTGTGTTATGACAGGCAGGCACATCAACTTGGGCACCCCCTACCCTGACCCACCATTCCAACATTTTTATACTAGCCAATCTTGGACAATGATGAACTCTTATTTCACAATTAATACCTGTTTTAATTGTTCTTTAATTCTATCTAGCTCAGATAAATGTTCTTGTCTCATCAACTCCTTGGCACGTGCTACAGCAACAAGTTTTTCGTGCATTACAGCCTTGTTAGAATTCTTTAACTCCTCCAGTTCCTGAAAATAATAAATCAAAATTTTGTTAACATAACATAATTTTAACATGGTCTTGCCATATATGTTTAAAAGACATAAAAAACCAACTAAATTTAAGAAATATTTGTCCCAAATTTTTCAAAAGATCAACATTTTATTAAAACAATTTCAACATAGTCTTGGCTGAAGAATCAAAGAAAAAGACATTTGTTTTCATAAACGAACACAATACTTAGATTAACTAATGCTTTAACTTTAAAATAATTAAATTTTTTACAAATGAACACAAATTATGCATACATGTAGACTTGCCCTTATAATAAACATTTGTATTAAAGTAGTAATCAAATGTCCTTATTCTTCAAAAAATCAACATTTAAATGATATACATGAAATACCATTGATATATTTCAATATGAACTCTTTTTCAACATTTTACAATGCATCAACTTTCATTTTAAAGTGTTTGTTCATAGTTTTGAATTCTATTCAGAATATCATGATCAAAGGCATATAAAGATAACAAGCGAAGTTTTTATGCACAACACAACATGGCTGTAAAAGAATGGTGTTTCACCACAGCTGTACACTGCATAAATAAAATGACAAGGTCCCCCCCCACCCCCGAATAAAATGCTACTTTGACGAATGACTATTTAGTACACAGCTGTGGACTGAAGATAAGGGGGTACTGCTATTCATTTGATGGGTAAGATTTTAAGGAAAGCAAACAAATACTTCAACCAAGAGTTTGACAGCACGAGTCTAAATATTTATAGAAAGACAGTGTTGACACTAAGAAGCATGGTTATAAAATCCAAAAGCTGAATAAATTACATTCTTTTATAAAAAAATAATTATCTAGGATTCTCTACATATAAACTGAACTTTAATGAAAAAAATGTCAGAACTGACAAATTCTTTTTCTTTTTTTTAAGTATCATGCTAAAAATTAACTCTTAATTTACAGCATTTAAATACTTAACTTACTTATATCAATAGAAAGAGATAAGACTTAGGTGAAACGTGGAAAGGGTTGTACAATAAATGTTTAGAAATTAAGAACAATACAATAAGTTTATCTGTGTGATTTACGATACCCTCTGGATAAACTATTGGTTTAACAAGTTTTACTTTAAACATATACAATAATTACATATAGAGATGTTTAAACATGTTTAACTTTTCCTGCATTTTTGTCTTCTTATGCCAATTTTTTGTGGGCATAATTATAAACAACAAGAGCTGTCAGAAGGACAGCGCGCTCGACTTTTTTAGTGCTTGCCTATAAAACAAAACTTTGACAGTTAAGGGCACACAAGACTTTAACTAGGAATTTCTAAGTACAAATCAAGAAACATTTTCACAGAGTTATCTTCTCTTGCTTACAGATAGGTCTCATGATGGCACATAAGAACTCCAACTTCCAAAGTAATATCTCAAATGGTTAGGTCAACAAGTGGACAAGAATGAAAATTTTAACTGAGTTTCTAAGTCAAAAAGGGCCATAATTCAAAAAAAATCCTTAACAGAATTACCTTCTCCTGCCCATGTTTGGGACCATGATGGTAAACAAGTATTCCAACTTTCAATTTAAATATCTCAACCAGTTCAGTCAAAAAGTTGACTGGTACAAAAAACTTAACCAAGATTCTAAGTCGATAAAAGGCCTTAATTTTTAAAACAAATCCCTGACAGAGTTACCTTCTCTTGCGTACAGATGGGGGTAATGATGTGAAATAGCATTAAAAGTTTCAAAGCAATATCTCAAAGGGTTAAGGCAATAAGTGGATTTTACCCATATTCAATGTATTTTCTAAGTCAAAAAGGGGCATAATTCTGTCAAAAACCTTGACAGAGTTATGTCCTCTTGTCTGTTGATGAAGGTCGTGATGGTAAACAAGTATGGTCAGTTTCAAAGCAATACCTCCAATGGTTTTGAAATAAAGTGAGGTGGTACAAAAACAACCAAGCTCAATACACTTTCTAAGTCAAAAAAGGGCCATAATTCTGTCAAAAACCTTGACAGAGTTATGTACTCTTGTCTGTAGATGGAGGTTATGATGGTGAACAAGTATGGTAAGTTTCAAAGCCATACTTGTAATACTTCTGAAATAAAGTGGGGTGGTACGAAAAACTTAACCAAGGTGTGACGCCAACGCCGACGCCGACGCCGACGCCGGGGCGAGTAGGATAGCTCCCCTTTTCATAGAAAAGTCGAGCTAAAAACTGGTAGTCTAAAAATCAGATGACTACAAGAACAAATATGTTAATATCTTACCAACAAAATTATACAGATAATAACAAAAGAAAAATGGTATTTTGAATGCATTTAAATATAGCTTTAACATATATACATTTTGACTTGTTTAGATTATGACACCAGTTCTCAGACTAACCAGAGTACTCTGGTGTCATATGGTTGTGGATCATGTAGGAGTCAAACCCATAAATGGTAGGAAATATTATTGGGCAGATTCTATGCTGGTCTTTGAGTAAAATACTTTTATCAAAGAAATTTATTGAAATCTATGAAATTTTTACTAAATATATCTAATTTGAATAAAAGATTTACTCAAAAAAAGTACCAGTGAAGTTACATTCCCTATTATGGGTCAAATAAGTACCGTATGGTCTTTTTCAAAAAAATAAAAATAAAAAAACTACCAGTTTTTTTTAAAGTCACTATAATATTCACATTATGTACCCCTACAGTGTGTGCGTTTAGATAACATAACATATTTTACTTTTGTGAAGTCAAAACACATTCAAAGAGACTGTGCAGCAATTATGAATATTTTCAAGTTTAAAATTTGAGCATTTAAAAGTATATCTTTAACTATAAGGCTGCATTTCCCTTCAAAGTTATACATATATCTTTTAAAGCTACAAATATGAACAAGTATAAAACAATTTACCTTTGAACAGTTCAAGAACCTATTCCTAACTTCTCTAAGGTTATCATAATCCAAGTCCATTTTTACTGAATTAAATAAACTATTCACTACTACACACACATATGAAAAAAATGCAAAAAATGGAATTTCAAGAAAATTAACTTCCTAGAAACTATTTGTTTTAATGACTTCTCCCCCTTTAAAGATAATGTCTGCTATAATTTAAACAAGCAGTCCTGCTGGCACACAGATTCTATTTAAATTCTAAAACCTCATTCATTATGCACTTAACATCTTTATTAATTATGAATTATTTTCTCATAATCATTTCATTACATCACCTCAGGTCAAAGTGACAGAAATAAATCTTATCTCAAAATCATTTAAATAATTCATTCCACTTTTATCGAATTTATCATACAAATTTTGCACAATCCACTATTAAGAATTCAATTCATTAAATCATTATAATTCTTATATCATTGTATTTTTTATTTCCATTCAAACTAATTTAAACTCATCCTTTAAATCATGGAAAAAAACTTATTCTCTCGATTTCAAAGCAAACTTCAAAAATGCACAGTATGTGTCATCGACCACTGTCTGCAATTCAATATCCGCAATAAATCACCATTCAGTTCAGTTCAATTTTTTTTCTCTCCAAAATTAAAACGAGTGATTAAAATTAATCAATTCCCTAATGATTTATCAATAACGTTTGTTGATTATAATGAAAGGTATTCGCTAGACGCACTGCCTGTCTTAAATAGTTTTACCCGTAAGATAATCAATCTACCGACGCTAATAAATTCTTTGTCTGTTCAACTTACACCTTTTATGTAAACGTAAGTAAAGACCTATTTGTATAATCTTTATATTACTATAATAATTTACAGGTACTTGTATTAAGTTTTTACCGTCGTTTAAACGTCTTAAGGATGTATGCTTTTCTTCCCTCAAGCCTTAAGAAGCATTTTATAAACATCTTTGTCAATTTTGATCGAAATAATGTCTTTATCGCGCAAGTTTCACACAAAAGATTAACAAAACAACTTTTTTTTTGCCGTTCAGATAAAATGAAAACATTTGAACAGATAAAAATGCTCGTATTTTTTTTGCAAAAATCAATCCTTATAAACATTTCTATTTCAATTTTAAAACATGTCTCTACATTGGATAAAGAGGGCTTTAAATTCTTAAATTAAGGAACCCTGGCCTGAGCAGAAATTAATTATGGTGAAAATGCTGTAGTCAGTGGCTCCCCGAAGAACAACAACCTTTTTAAAAACACAGTAAAAATTCATCAGATGTAATAATTGACAATAAATCTTAACCTCTGTAAAGCAATTCAACCCCTCTAGAGCATTTTTTCCTCTGAGCATTTAACTCCTCTAGACCAATTTCACCTCTCTAGATCAATTTCACCTCTCTAGATCAATTTAACCTCTCTAGAGCAATCTAACCTCCCTAGAGCATTTTAACCTCTCTAGAGCAATCTAACCTCTCTAGAGCAATTCAATCTCTCTAGACCAATTTCACCTCTCTAGATCAATTTCACCTCTCTAGATCAATTTAACCTCTCTAGAGCAATCTAACCTCTCTAGATCAATTTAACCTCTCTAGAGCAATCTAACCTCCCTAGAGCATTTTAACCTCTCTAGAGCAATCTAACCTCTCTAGAGCAATTCAACCTATCTAGACCAATTTCACCTCTCTAGATCAATTTCACCTCTCTAGATCAATTTCACCTCTCTAGAGCACAGGCGGCAGTATCAGTGTTTGGACACCCCACCCCTATCTGCCCCTGGACCCCTACTACAACCCTGAAAAAAGTCAACACTCTAAGGCTTACTATAAGGTACCAAATACAAAACCACCGATGAAATTATATAAAAAAAAAATTTTTCCACTATCAAAATTATAGTTATAGAAAGGTGTAAAGCCTACTATATGTCCATTTGCCAAACAATGTGGAACACGGGAAATCGTCGTTTCGGCGACTGAGGCGCATTCCGGCGGGATTCCGCTGCATCATTCATTAACATTAATAAAAAGAACTAGAATTCCTCAGTTTATGTAATTCAAGTCTAGTACAAAGCAGACAATTTGTAGCAGAAGTAAAAA